GTTTTCAGATTTATCTTTTTAAGTCAACATAACAGCATCTCAAATCTCACTAAAAATACAACTAAGGAAGTTTTTCTTTTAAATTTCCCCTACTTCCTGAAAATATTGCTTTTACTGGGTACAATTTGTGCTGAATGTTCACGTTGGTCTCTCAGCTTTTCTCTTAAAATTGCTAAATCTTCACAATGCCAGCAGCTTTTCATCATTTCACACTTGTTGATGCCATTTATAGCTGGATTACTTTGAATAATACATCCATGACTAGTCAGTCATTACACCTTCTCCTCAATAGCTATGAAAGGCAGTCAGCAGTTAGGGACTATAGATTAGAATTAGCTTCAATTGCAAGTGACAGCACATCTAAAGTAATAGTGGTTTAAATAAGATATGCTTATTTCTCTTCTAGCCAAAAGAAGTCCAAAAGTTGTCAGTATGGTTGATAAGATCCTGCACAGTGTCAAGGGCTCTGGCTCATTCAATGCTCAGCCATCAAGTCCGTATTCCATCCAGTAGTCAGAGGGTGAGAAAAGATCACACACTCTCCCTTTAAGAACAATTCCTGGAAATGACTTTCACCATTTTTACTTATATTCCAGCTACTAGAGCTCAATCATATGACCATACGTAGCTAGTTTCAAGGGAGGAGAGACAAAATGTAATTGTTATTCTGGGTAGCCAATCACTTGACCAGCTAAAAGTTTTATTGCTATAAACACATGAGAAAATGTACTGTATATTAGGAGAAAATCAGAAGTTTCTAATAGCCAACTCTTCTTTTCTCTCTTTCCATCTGTACCACACCAATCCAGAAAGCATTAGGAGAACTGGAGCAGAGTGGGAATTATTTTACTCACTAGCCACTCAGTGGATAGCAGAGCAACTGGTCAGTGTTTCCTCCTAACTGAAATCTGCTTCTCTTTCTTTCTCTCTACTACTTTTTTTTTCTTTCTTTCCGCCCCTTGCTACAACTCTCCAAATGTCAGATAAATAGGTAAGATCTCATTGTGGATTCAGCAATTATATAGACTTTCCCTGTTACTTTAGTTTCATCACTTCAGCAAAAAAAAAATGGGAAGAGATAACGTTGAGAACCTGGTTGTCGTCTTGGTTGAAGGGCCCAACCCTCAAATTTGATCCTATGATTCTATTTACATTTAAAACCCTGCCCTCAATAAGCACATAAAAAGATGTCAATATCATAAGCCACTGGGGAAACACAAGTTAAATCACAATGGGACAACACTACAAACACCAGAACAGCTGGAGTTTAAAGGATGTGGAGCTCCTGGCATCTTATACATTGCTGGTAGGAATGCAAAATGTTGCTACTTTGGACAAGAAATTGGTAAGATGTCAAACCTACTTCATATGACTCAGCAATTCCACTCTTAAATATTTGTCCAAGAAAAACAAAAGCATGTCTATAATAAAATGTATATATGAATGCTTGTAAGTTTGTTTGCAAAGCTGTTGCTAATCAACCTGGGGTTCTTTAGCTTTGACTGAGATGGAAATCATGAATAGGCAAAGTTCAGCCTGCTCCGATGCTGTTGTCACCAGTTGACACTGGATAAACCTGGATGCCAACGGTTCACAGAACCAGCTGCTGGTCTCTGACACTGCCAACTACCACTGTCCAGTGTTAGCTTGTGCCAAACTCCAAAGGTCGACTCTGCCCAGTGCTGGTCTCTGCTGCTGACCTTCATTGGCTGCTGGTCTCTGGAGCTTTTTGATGCTCACAGTCCTAGTGATTTTTGCTCTTTCTTTTGAGAAAACCACTCTGTCCACACTACTCAGGATAAAAATCCTGATCAGATGTACAGGATTTTTGGAGCCTACACTACCAGAGTAATAAATTGCAAGCAGGCTTACAAGACCACCGAAGTGAGTCTTTAACAAGGTCTTTACTCCAACATAAGCAGGCAGCACATGGGATGGAGTCTCCTAAACTAAATGCACAAAAGTGTGGGGGATGCTGCAGGCCTGTGATTGGACCAAGTACAGTGCTGTGAATTGTGCAAGGCTCCAGGTCAGCCTCAGCTGTAATGGCTGCTATCCAATCAAGGGGCAGGGCTGAAACCAAGGAATCTTCTGGAAGGCTAGCCATGGGGGTGGGGATGCTAACAGTGGGCCTAGATTTCTTCCTCTCTGATGTTAGCCAGGCCAGGGTGCTCCCTCCCTTCTTGAAAAAGACAACAGCAGCATCTAAAGTGGCAGGAGCAGGGGAGGGGCACCATACTGATAGAGGAGCTGTATCCATCTGTAGTGGCTGCTAGATAGCCAGGGAGGACACTAAAGCAATTTGTCCCAGTCCATGTGGAGGTGAGGGAAGCAAAAAGGAAGCAAAGAGAGGGGGTGTCTGCCCCACCACCACTGAGCCGCATCTCCCTCCAGTGAGCACAGGAAAAATAGGCATCAAGTGCTTCTCTTGTCTCATAGCTACTAACTAGAAAACAACTCAAATATATATCTGTGAGAAAATTGTGAAATCCTTATAATGGGTTACTATTCAACCATAAAAAGAAACTAAGAACCACTATACACAATAACATGGATCAAAAATGCAATGTTAGTCTGGTGTGGTGATGCATACCTGTAATCTCAGCACTCGGAAGGCTGGTGAAGGAGGGTCACTACGAATTCGAGGCCAGCCTGAACTACATAGTGAGACCATCTCAAAAACCCAAACCAAAAGCACTATGCTAAATTCTAAAATAAGTGAAACTAACCTTATGTAGTGATAGATGAGATCAGTGGTTACCTGGGTCATGGAGGATGGTGGGGAGCAGGGACCGAATAAATACAGAAACATAAAAGAACTTTCAGGGAGTGTTAAGAGCATTCCTTATCTTGACTGTGGTATTATTTATGTGGTGAATACACTTGCTTAACTTCATCACATCATCTACTTGAAATGGGTGCATGAGCGCATTTTGCTGTTGGTAACACACATATCTCAGTAAAGTGATTAAAACAAAACCCTGCCCTACTTCCTGTGCCCTAAAGCATAAAGCGCAAACTCAAAAAAACAAAACCAAAAAACTTACAGAAGCTTTCAAGAAGTTTCTCTGCCTGCTTCTCCAGCTTTCAGCTGCGTGTGGTCAAGGTCCAAGTCAAGGCTCAACGTTCCACTCACCTGTGTGTTGAGGTAGAGAATGTGATAGGGAAAAAAATCCATTACTGCTTAATAAGCTCCACATATCACTCAGCATGTCGAGATACTATCACTCAGGTCATGGGATGTAGATAAATAATAAAAGCAGACCTTGCTGGTAAAGGGGTTGAGAATGGTCGCAAAGGTCCTCTCTATGCGTCCCCAGCACTAACAACCCAGGCATTCGTCCCTGGAACCCTTCAGAGCTTACTTAGTGCAGCAATGTACTTTTAAGTAAGCATTCTTGCCAGGATACTCTCCTATTTTCCTGCTTGAGAACAAGTTTTAAATTTTGAAGAGAAAAAAAATCACCCTTCAGATACTTTCAATCACTCATTCCATACTGCCCATAATATGTCACTCTCTCTCTTGAAATCCTGCCCTATATGGCTTGCCTTTAATGGGTTCAGCATTTAGTGAGCTAGGCCTGGATTATGTGCGAAATGCATTAACCTCTCACATGATTGTAAAAATTGCCTTAATAAAATAGAGCTAAATCCTACTTAATAGCAATAAAACAGAAGCCACTATGTTCCAAGGATGCTAATGACCTATGAGTCATTCCTTTTGATTGTAGAAGGTTGTGCATTTGGAATCTGTCCCTTTTAATGAAACTTTTAAGCTTGGATAACTGCTGAAAAATCACACAAGTTAAAATAAGTTTCCTGTTCACAGATAACTGGAGAGCCAAGAAACTTCCATCATCTTCTTAAAGGTCCACCATCCTGCTGAGGTCAGATGCAAATGGCAAAAAGGAGAGTACTGATTATAATAACCAATATTTGCCTAGCCTTTACTACTTTGAAAGTTCTCTTTTTACCTATATCAATTGATTCAACTCACATAAAAGACTTACGAAGTAGGTGCTATGACATCCATTTATAGATAAAGAAATTGAGACACAGACAGGTAAAGGAATTTGTCCAAATTCTCACAACTAATAGGATGAAGGACTAATACTTGGATCCAGGTCCACTGAATTCAAGTCCCACATTCTCCCCAAGTGCTGTTCTCATATTTATCTTGAACCACAATCATTTGTTTATGAAATGGAAGAAAGAGGTTCTATGTTCTTGTCTTAAGTTACTTTTCTCATTGTTGAGACAAAATACCCAACATTCACAAGTTAAAGGAGGAGAGGTTTATTTTGGCTCACAGTTTGTAAAGGTTTCAGACCATAGCCAGCTGGCTTCAAGGCAGGGTGCCACGGCCGAGGGCCATGGTGGAGGAGAAACAGTTCATGGCAAAGCAGGCAGGAGGCAGCAAGCAGCCTTCTGGACTTTTATCCCATCCAGGGTACAAACCCATTGGATGGTGCCACCCACAGCCAGAGTGGGACTTCCATTATCCACACTCAGAACTATGCAAAACCAATTTAGTTATCACACACCCTTAATCCCAGGATCACATACCCTAGATCCAGCCACTTCCAGAAAGCCTCACTTATGAGCATGTGAAGCTTTGGGGGGCCATCCAGGTACAAGCAGTAACAGAATCTGAAACGCTTCAGCCTCTTTCCTTTCCCAGCAAAGTCACATCCACTGTGGCAGCATCTGCCTCCCCAAGTCAGAACCATGGCTGTCATGGTCTGGAGATGGTTTGGATGCTCCTCGGCACGTCAAAAGCTTGTTGAGAAGTGAGACTTTCTGCGTGGTAATTAGGTCTGGGGGCACTGCCTTTTGGAGGGATTGATACTAGTCTTGCAGAATGAGTGAACTGTTGTTGAGAAAGAGCATTGTTACATGAGAGCAAGGCTGACCCCTGAATTCCTCTCTGGATCCTATCTCACCATGGGATCCCACCTCTGGCACATATCCCTACTATGATGTCATTCACCATGAGGTGACACAACCCATGAGGTCCTCACAGGGGCTGAGCCAATGGGACCACTTGATCTTGGACTTTCAGCCTCCAAAACCGTGAGCTAAAGAAACCTCTTATTTTTAGATGTTGTTTAGACTTATTTATCTAATTAAAGCAACAGAATATAGGTCCATACAATGGCTTTCTACCAGTCCTTATAATAACTATAGTAATAAAGACTTACTATTCCAATAGCAAGGACAGCAATAGTTGTAACTGCTGCCTTCATTGAGCCCTGCAACTGCTATCATTATTGAGCACTATGGCAGGCATTACAAGTCTTATGCATTTTTAACTCAGCTTTAACAAGGTAGGTGTTATTACTTCTCATTTTTAGATAAAGAAACCAAGGACGAAAGGGACTTAAAAACCTGACCAGTTATAGGGTATGGTAAGTAATTACAGAATCAGCTCCAGGTTTCCACCCCTCCCTGTACCCATGCCCTTTTCAGTGTGACTTTGCAAACATCCCATAAAGAAGTGGAGACACTTTTCTACCCTTTGAAATCAACCTCAGGCTTGCTGAGGCCATTAAGATGCAGCAAAAGTGAAGATAAGCCAGTCCCAAATCTCTGCCCTTCTACTGTCCCTCAGAACCTGCCTCTGCCACAAGAACAAGCCCAGGCTTGTCTGCTCAACAATAAGAGATCACACAGAGCAAGGGTGCTTTGTCTCAACACAGGCCCTTACGAACCAGCCAGCCTCACTCTGACCCACTAGTGATACAGACACATGAGCAAGTCCAGCCAAGACCAGCCCAACCCATTCTGGATCCACAGAACCCTCTCACCAGGCTTCAGACTAAGGGAACGGTGAGTTGTTGTCTCAAGCCATGAGGTTTTAGCACAGTGTGATGGTTAGTTTTATGTGTCAATATGACTTGGCTAATGGATGTCCAGACAGCTAGAAAATGTTATTTCTGGGTGTGTCTATGAGGATATTCCAAGAAAGGTTAGCATTTAAATCAGTGAATTATCTTCATCAGTGGGGGTGAATATCATCCAAACTGTTCAGGGTTTGAATAGAACAAAATAGTAGAGGAAGGAAAATTTCACATTTTGAGCTGGGACATCTATCTTTTGCCATTAGCCATCACAATAACCTATAACTTGGTTCTTGGGCCTTCACACTCTGGGACTTAACAACAGTGGCTCCCTAGTTCTCAGGCATTTGGAATTGGAACTGAATTATACCACCCGTTTTCCTGCTGCTCCAGCTTGCTGATGACATTGTGGGACTTCTTAGACTAATATCTATAATAAATCTCATACAACCACACATATTTTATTATTTCTGTTGTCTGGAAAGCCCTGATTAATATAGATGATTTGTCACGCAACAACTATATACTTATACAAACTTATGCAAAATCTAAGTCAAGTCTAAGCCTAAGTCTTAGCTACATAACCTGGTTTTTGCTTCTCCTATCCAGGCACATGACTAGTATTTTTTTCTCTTTTTGTTTTATTGGTACATTTTAAATATACAAAATGATAACATCCAACATAGGGAATTCATACCCATGTATGATATATCTTGCCTCTTCTTTTTCTCATATCCACCTCCCTCCAATCCCTCTTTATTTACAAAAGCTTTGTTTCCATTTTTTGCTTCTATTTTTTTTTCGTATCTCGTATTTCCTTCCCCACTCCCCTTTCCCTTGTTCCTTTTCTCATTTGAACACTTCTATTTCCCAATATCTATTGTACATTTTGGTTCTTATTTACATTTTTGGTTTCTCACACCAGAGAAACCATGTGATATTTGAACATGTGTGTCTGATTTATTTTACTTAAGAGTATGGTCTCAAGGTCCAACCATTAAGCTATAAATATCTTGAGCTTATCCTTCTCTATGGCAGAGTAGTACTCTGTTGTATTAAACACTCATACACACACACACACACACACACACACACACCCCTTTTTTATCCATTCATTAGTTGATGGGCATTTGGGTTGTTCCCAAGATTTAGCTATTACAAACTGTGCTGCTAGAAACTTGGGCATGCCTATGTCACTGTGATATGATGCTATTAATTCTTTCAGGAAGATACCAAGAAGGGGAATAGCTGGGTCAAGTGGAACATCTAGTTTTAGTTTTTCAAGGAGTCTCCACACTGATTTCCACAGCAGTTGTACCAGTCTGCACTCTCATAACAGTGGAGAAAGGTTCCTTTTCCCCCACAATCCTGCCAACATTTGAGTGGTCTGATTTCTTTTGAGTTCTCACATATTGTAGATGTTAGTCCTTTGTCTGAGGAAGAGCTGGCAAAATTTTTTTTCCCACACTATAGGTTGTCTCTTTACTCTACTGATGGTTTCTTTTGCTCTGTAAAAGCTTTTTAATAATATGAGATCCCAGTGTTGATTCTATGTGATATTTCCTGTGGGATCAGGGTTTTATTCAAAAAGTCTTTGCCTACACCAATGTCTTCAAGAGTTGTACTGATTTTATCTTCCAGAAGATTTAATGTTTCTGTTTTAATATTTAGATCTTTCATTCACTTCAATTTTAGTTTAGTGCATGGTGAAAGATATGGATGTAGTTTTAAACTTCTGCATGTGGAAAACCAGTTATTCCAGCACCATTTATTAAAGAGGCTGTCTTTCTTGGAGTGAAAGTGTTTGGCTTCTTTGTCAAAGATAAGGTGGCTGAGTATGTTTGGAGTTTTTTCTACATCTTCTAGTCTGTTCAGTTGATCCTCAGGTCTGTTTTATTGTCAGTACCGTGCTGTCTTTATAATAGTCGCTTTGTAGTATAATTTCAAATCAGGGATTATGATGCCTCCCGCATTGCTTTTATTGCCCAGAATTACTTTTGCTCTCCTAGGTCTCTTCTGGTTCCAAATGAATTTTAGGATTGTTTTCTGTAATTCTGTGAGATATGCGATTGGTATTTTGGTTTATGCGTTTTTTTGGTACTGGGGATCAAACTCAGGACCTTGTGCCTGCAAGGCAGGCAGTGGAACCACTGAGCTAAATCCCTGGTCCTGCTCTTGATATATTGTTTGGGATTGCATTAAATATGTATAACAGATTTTGAAATTTGGCTTGTTTTACTACATTGCTTCTTCCTACCTAAGAACAAGGGATATCTTTCTATTTTCTGATATCTTCTTGGATCTTTTTCGGAGTAATATGGTTTTCCACATAAAGGTCTTTTACTTCCTTCATTAGACTGATTCCTAGGTATTTCATTTTTTTGGATACAATTGTGAAAGATATTGTTTCCCTAATTTCTCTCTCAGTGAGTTTGTTATTTGTGTATGGGGATGCTATTGATTTTTTACTTTGAATCCAGCTATGCTACTGAATTTTTTTATTAAATTTAGAGGTCTTTTGGTGGAGTTTTGGGAGTCGTCTATGTAGCATATCATGTCATCTGAAAATAATAATTTAACTTCTTCCTTTCCTATCTTTATTCCTTTTATATCTTTCTCTTGTCTAATTGCTCTAGCTAATGTTTCCAGAACTATATTGAATAGGAGTGGTGACAGTGGACATCCTTGTCTTGTTCCTGATTTTAGAGTGAAAGCTTTGGGTTTTGTTTGTTTGTTTGTTTTTTGTCTATTTAGTATGATGTTGGCTGTTGGTTTATCATAGTTGGGTTTTATCAGATTGAGATAAAGACCATCTATTCCAATTTTCTGTCGACTTTTATCATGAATGGATGTTGGACTTTGTCACATGCTTTTTCTGCATCTATTGAGATGATCATGTGGTTTTTGTCCTTGATTTTGTTAATATAGTATATTACATTTATTGATTTGCACATGTTAAACCAACCCTGCCTCCCTGGGATGAATCCTCCTTGGTCATGTTATATAATCTTCTAGATGATTTTCTGTATTCTGTTTGCCAATATTTTATTGAGCATCTTGTATCCATACTCATTGGGGACTGTAGTGGTCTCTCTCTCTCTCTCTCTCTCTCTGGTTGGATCCTTCTCTGGTTTTAGTTAGAGTAATGCTTGTTTCTAGGAATGAATTTGAGAATATTTCTTTCCTTTCAATCTCATTAAAGAATTGGAGAAGTGTCAGCATAAGGTCTTCTCTAAATTTCTTATAGAGTTCAATAGTGAATCTATCAGGGCCTGGGCTTTTCTTTGTTGGTACATTTCTAATTATATCTTCAATTTTATTGACTGATATTGGCTTATTTAGAATTTTTATACCTTTTTGATTTAGCTTTGGTAATTCATATGTATTCAGGAATCTTTCCATCTCTTCTGTATTTTCCAGCTTATTAGAATATAGGTTCTTGAGTAGGTATTGATGATCTTCTGGATTTCTGCAGAATCTATTGTAATAAGCATGTTTTGTGAGCTAGTATGTGATCTATTTTGGAGAACACCACACATTCAGCTGAGAAGAATGTGCATTCTGGTGTTGTGGGGTAGAATACTCTGTGTTTCTTGTATGTAGCATATTCTTGGATCTTGCTTCTTGATCCATTCTGCCAGTCTGTTTCTTTTGATTGCTGAATGGAGACTATTTACACAGACTATTATAACTGACAGGTATTGAATTATCCTTGTCATGTTATTTTCCTATTATTGGTTCCCTTTTTTTTCCTCCTCTGTCTAATTGCTTGGCTTGCCTGGTGGCTTCATTCTTTTGGTGTTCATGGAGTTGTAGTCCCTAACAGCTTTCAATTTTTTGATCTTGTGTTGAATTTCTGAAATCTTGACTATTATATGCCTTGGTGTAGATTTTTTATCATGGCTAATGAAAGTTCTATATGCCTCACTTATATGTATTTCAAATTCTTTTTCTCAGCTTGGGAAGTTTTCTGCCATTACTTCCATGAACAGGTTTTTTTCTTTAATTTCATTTGCACTGTCTTCTACTTTTTCATTGACTCTGAACAATCTTATGTTATTCTTCTTTGTATCACCTAGCAGCTGTTGGGTTGATTTTTCATGGCTCCTGCTATTTTAAAGACATCTTTCTTTTCATGATCACTAATCACAACCCTGTCTTCTAAATCTGATACTTTGTTCTCACATTGGCTCATTATACTGCCTATACTTTTTTTCTTTCTTTCTTTCTTTCTTTTTTTTTTTTTAACCTGGGATCAAACTCGGGTCCTTGTGCTTTCAAGGCGGGCGGCAGAACCGCTGAGCTAAATCCCCGGCCCTCTGCCTATACTTTCAATTGAATTTCTGGGGTGTTTTGTTTTGTTTGGTATTGGGGATCAAAGTCAGGACTTTGCCAGACCGGCAGTGGAACCACTGAGCTAAATCCCCAGCCCTTGGTGGAATTTTTAATCTCCTAGATATCTGTTTGAATCTGTTTCATGGGTTTCATGTCTTTCCTATGTTGGGCATTCATGATTTCCATCAATTTCCTAAGCTCCTCTATTTCTTTTTAATATGTATCTGATCTAGAGTCACTCAGTGTGTCTTTCACTATGGTCACCATTTCAGTAGTTATCTGAGAAATTATTTCTGATTTGATTTTTTTCTAGAGCTTCATTCATTTACTTTGTTACTTCTGCTCTTACCACTTCAGACCATTCAGGTGGATGGTTTTCTATTTGCTCCACCTCATTGCCCCCCAAGTTTGCCCTTGGTGAGCTGGAAGTCTGGGGTTGCATTTTGCTTAAGTGTCTTCTCATCTTCTTTTTTAAAAATGTAATCCTTAGGTTGATGCTTGTAAATGGCTAGTGGTGAATAGCTTTATTGCCAGTCTTTAGAACCCTTAGGAAATTACTACTTCTTAGAGATGTCTTCCAAGTGTAGTTTTTGAGTCTTTTGCAAGATCCTACCTCTTCAGTTTATTGGAGATGAAAAGTTGTTGCGTATGTGA